GGGTCGCGCTTCTACATCACAAGTGCAAATCGTTAGTTTTTGCAGTTTTCGAAATTGGCACCAGCTTCGGTTGCTGTCGCGCATTCTACTGGGATATCGTCACTGTCTGAAATCAAGAGGGTATCAATGTTTGAGATCGCAAATCTGTTGGCTAACATAGGAGAGTTGGGTTTTGCAACTGAAATGACAGTGAAGGAAACGGTATCTACTTTTGTTGAAAGATATTGTTTAAGAACGAGCAAGGTTTGAGTGTTGATCTCATTGATCGTCATATTGACTTTCAGCAAACTGCTTGGTGTCCATTTAATACATTTTGCTATTTCATATACTATGTCATTTTGTGGTAAATGTGCTAAGCGATAAAAGGAGCACGTAGGTAGGGGTAGTAGACGACCGAAATCCTTCGCAAGATGGTTTGTTTTGGTATCCACTCTCCGAAATAGCCTGTAATGCGTTATCATTTTCGTTAAGACCTGATTGGGGCAATCACCGTGCTACATCGTAAATTTTAGTCTTCGCGGCTTGCTTGAAGGAAATTGTCTTCATTTGCTTCAAGAATTTTAATTGGTTTAAACTCGCGTTCACTGCGCAATTAGTGTTTTCTTGGATCAGACTTCGAACCTCCAGAATTTTTGTTTTTTTTTCAGCTTTGCAAACGTAATGATATTAAAACATTCTGAAGATCGAGAATTTGGTCTTCACAGCCAGCGTTTATAAAGATCAGCGGATGTATTACAAAGTTACTGATAGATTTCGCAGGCGGCTGCGTCGAGCTCCGACTTTGACCTAAACCAAAATTTGAAGTTATTATCGTGTTAGGGTGAACAGAGACGAATTGGAAAGACACAAATGTATGCATCTTTGTTATTCCGGAGCGATTTTCTCGCCTCCGAAGCGACATTTTGCGACGCAACTTTGACATTGCCTTGATAGGGGAAGACCCTCAACTCAGGGTGGACAGTGCCTTTGAAATGCCTTTGTACTACAGCAAAAAGATCCAGACTACGATAAAAGTAGTCAAAAGCTTCTTATTTATTCGTGCCGAAGCACCCCTTAGGTTTGTCTAAATTCAGGTAGAGAAAGTAAAACACTTCTCAATCAGATCAGGAATGTAGGCATGTCAGTGAGAGCCGCATCAAGTGTGCGAAGCCACTGAATAGCCCGTGGCGAAATCTGTGCCTAACCAAACAAGAAGGACACATTAGAACACCTTGCATTGTATTCAACAATTAGGATATGAGGGATTTGCCCTAGATACATCATAGAGACTCCACCATTATCTCTCAAAATCTCCTTGTCTCAAAATCAGTTTTCGTTCCCACAAATCGATAGTGATGTGAAAATCTAGGTTTTTTTCACATGTCTGATTTATGAGCACTCAAAATGCTCTTCCTTGAGATAGGGGAACAAGAGCCATTAGGCGCCTTCCTCTTGCAAACCGCTTCTTTTCGCGCACTTCTGCATACATGTGAAGATCAGTAGTCGGCCAGGCTAAGCTAATGATGGATTTAGTCGTCTACCCAAATCATAATCCGAACAGCTTGTTCAGAAACTCAAACATGGGCGCGTTGATCTTTCAGTGTTGTACTTAAACAAAAAGAACGTAATTTTGAATAAATCTACATGTGGCACACTTATAAATAATAGGGGAGTTCAACAATATTACAAAAACATCGCACAAACATCGATTCTTAACGGAACGAACAATAAAACAACCATCACGAACGATATTCATACTAATGCAATTGCAGCGACCAGTCAAGTACAATACCTATTCCGCACACAGAAAAAAAATAGTGAGAAAGCGGTTAGTAGTTCATAACGTGTGAAACTATTGAAAAGATAGTTGAATATAGCACAGTAAAAAATCATCGACAAATTCGCTTCAAAAAAGCTGTTGAATACGAGCTCGAAATAAAACTGCTATAACTCACCATTCATAGAATCAGCAGCCTATTCAATGACATGATCCATGGTAGTAGATAATGTACACTGTGTAACGGGATGGCCCAGTGGTAAGTTTCGGTAGAACCTGATTGGTGAAGAACACGATTTTTAATACAAGATAATTTATCCAAACGGACAAAGTAACAGAAACAAGAACCATAACGACGATATGTATTAGTTTGTAACAGAATTAATGCAGGTTTTTCGCGCACCATTTTCAAAATGCTGGTTTAGAAAGGGCAAGTGTTTTCTCAGAGAGTTTTGCATATCACTGGGAAGCTCTTTTCTTCTAATTTCTTACGCACTTCTTCGTTTCAGTGGAAGTGAATTTGTCTAGAAGTTCTGAGCTCATGAATTTAAGAAACCAAATGTCGAAATTTTTTCTTTTGATATACCTGGCCCTAAAACCACCAAAAACAATCGGAATTCGCTGCAAAATTACATATTATTTTTGAATGAGCTATGTTACAAAATGCATTTTAAATCAAGAATTCTGAAAACACCTGAGCCGAGAAATTTCAGAGCAAAATTCAACGGTCGCTGTGGTCCGTCTGCCCTACATAAAAATCCTCAGCGCGAAGCGACTGCAGAGCTTCCGCTTTATATAGGAAGAAAAGATTTTAGACATTTATGGCTGAAAAAATCGGTAGCCTTTCTCCCTATTCAGCTTTGAAAAAATTCAAAAGTTTCAGATAAGCAATTTTTCAAATTCTCAGAAAAGCCGAAAAAATAAGTGCTTTCAAAATTTTTTCAAATATCCTCTCGCAAAGAATTTTTTTTCAATTCCAAATTTGGCGCTGCTGCACAACCGATCATAGGCTACACAGTGAGTTATATTTGCGCTACCTTACTATATTTGTTAGTAAGTTATGATTTTTCAAAGTGAAGGTTTTCCGAAACAATTCTTGGCAGAATTTGGGCTATAAGATTTTTCTCAGTAAAGCTACAACAACACAATAATGCATATTGAGTTGAAAAAGGTTTGCTGATTACAACAATTTTTGTTGCACACAAAAAGACTATTTGTGTAAAAAGTCATAATGATCCAAACACAAAATTCAGAAAACCTGCATTAATTCTGTTACAACCTAATACAACTACAGGCCCCTACCCGATATGGCCTCTCATCAGGGTTCTCTACCCTCACTATCTCAGGGGAGAGGACTACCTCTTTTCGACGACTCGTTTACGGCCGCAATTTTTCTGTCTCTTCGGCCACAAAAACGACATCCCGTTTGTCCCAAAAATGGTATCCCGCTTGCTTATAAGCCAGCTTTGCCTAGCCCTGGGCCTTATATAGGTTTCACTTGAACTAGTATGAATTGTTCTATTAGGTCGTTCCATAAGTTCGTAGCGTTTTCATTTTCGTCCTCATATCCTTGAGGAGCGGTTGATTTGCGGCCAGGTGCGTATATCATTTGGAAGGGCTGATTGTGCTCTTTAAAACATGCTTACTGATTTCGGTGGAAAGCTGATTCACTCAGATCTCGCAGCTTCCAAAGATGGAGATCTTGAAAGGTAAAAAGGAGCAATTTCGGCATTTGCGCATTTTTCTTTATGGAAAGAAGTGCTTTTGAGAGATTGTGCGATTATGGAACATGGCGCTCGCATATCAATATGAGACAAAAAAGGATTGGATTGCTACAAAAAATCAGGGTCTGAGCAGGGTGTCCCTGAACAAGACTTTTCGGGGGACGGGCAGAACGTCCTGTACTGAAAAGTCCTGTACAGGTAGGCGATGGTCAACCATACCGTAAGCAATCCAACTGCACCGTCTAAACCACGTCCTATCGCAGAAAAAGCCTAACAAACAGATCCATTGAGCTTTTCTGCATGACAAAACATGGCTTCATACGGCAAACGTCGTCAAAATTTTCCTGCACGATTCGACTGGAAGGTACTTCAGTACCCAAAATACTCTCCAAACCTCGCTGTATCATATTATCATTTGCTCCGCTTTCTGGCAAACCTTATGAATGGTGCCTATCTCAATTTCACTAAGTAATTTGAGCGCTGGTTAGATGACTTTCTTGGGACCCGGCGCGCTGCCGTTTGAAAAATTGAGGTTGAGAATCTAACAAGAATGTGCCAAAAGATCGTGCGCTACAACGAGAAATATAATTTTGATTGATTTTTACTGTAAACTGATGATTTTTTGGTTTATAAAAACGCTACGAAATTATGGAACGACCCAATAGACTATCAGAAGTTACGTCTAGTAAGTGTTCTTTCTTTTGAAAGCTACAATTATTGTCGAAGTGTTCCTGTCTAGGTGTTATGTTCCGTTCACCCTGATAGCGAAAAGCGTAATGAGGAGCCTTTTTGCAAAGTTTTCTTCACAAATTTCTTCCATCCTTTTATGCTCATGATAAGATATGCCCGAAATCGTATTCTCACAAAAAATTTCGACAAGATATTATCGTTGGCGCTTGAATATTTAGCAATGCGATAGAACGAAAAGCAGAAATTCATGTTTGTTTTAGTTAAAAATTTGGTTGTCGCTTTGACTAAACTAAATATTGACAAATGTGAGAGAAGCGAACTAAAGAAATAGTCGTTCTAAATTCAACTTCGCCCGCCAGATCCGTCTTCCTGCAGGAAAAAATAAAATAAGGGTGAAGGCCTTGAAAAGCCGCTTTTTCTTACTGGTTTGATCACTAAGTCTACGTTCCTTTTTTCAAGAATCACGCATAGTCTATTCATCCTCGATCTACCCACGCGTTTAGCACGCAATAAAAATGAAATCGAAAATTTTCCTGTATTTTTGATTGACACATTGCATGCTATTAAGAGCCAGAACGTGAATGCGCTGTCAGAGTGCCTTATCAAAAAAACAGAACATTCAGTTTCACTGCCATTTCGACGAAAACAAGAACATATATTTTTTTCGGTCCAGCCAGTAAAATAATTCTTCACATTACTATTTTATTCTATGCTATCGAATGACAACTGAACAATCAATGATATTTATTCAAATATAGCAGGACAGCGCCCCACTTAAATCCCGTACAGAAAAAAACAACAACGCAAAATTCAATAGAATAGTTGGCAATGTTCGCAACGCGATCACTTGCTACCACTATCGTCCACTATGAGCCGGCTCATCGTTGTCTTTTTCTCGCTTCTTACCGTATTCTTGGCTATAGGTTTGAGTGTAAGTTCCCGTAAAGCTAGTAGTGGTGTAAAAATTTCATTTGCTTTTAGTGGTATTACAACCAATTTTTGAGAGAGAAGAAGGATGTCAAAGTTCGTAGGCCATATGATCCTATCACTATACTTCTTCGAAAACAATTCCATCAGGTACTATTCAACGATATACTAAATATTAAGTTGACCCATGATCTAAAAACACAAGGAAATAAAAAAATTGAAAAATCTAAAATTTCAACTGTTCAGAGGGACATCCGATTAGCACCATTTTTCAAGGAGAGTTGAAAGCAACACCAAGGCTAAAATCAGAATTGCTCAACTTTCACTATTTTTTACAGATTGTTGTTTGAAAAAAATATGATTTAAGAGTTTCTCATTATTTGTTTCGCCGACTTTAACTTTTGCTTCATCACGATTTCCTTTGTCGTAAATATATTGAATGAAACGAATTTCTTATAAGAAGATTGGAAAAGATTACAAATTTACAAAAATTTTGGTTTATTTTGGGGTCCACATACTGATTATTCTGCTTTACAGCTGTTCATTACAGGTAGATGAGATATGTAACAAAGAAACAAAGACCTGCTTTACAATCACGGACAGAATAGAAAACAGTACTGGACGGTTAGTTCGAACTTCTCCTCTAGTTTTGTGTTCATTCTTAACTTCCACAAAAAGACTAATCTTTGGAGCAAACCGCTCAGAAAAATTTGATTTTGGTTGAAGAAATGTGCACTTGCACAAAGCTGCACCCATAATTGGCGCAAAATTACTATGAAATTTCTTAAATAAAAATAACGTTAGCATAAATGTCCAATCAGATATTGACTATACCTGCAATATGGTGAACAGAAATGTTTGAATTTTGTTGTCGTTAGAGTATCTCATTTTCCTAGTAATTTCTCAGCCTACTCTCTTTTGCTCCAGGTGCATTTCTGCCATATAGTGTGCCATTTATATTCAGATTGTATTGAAACGAAAGCTCTCGTGGAATTTATTTGATTTTCAAGAGGTTACAAAATTGTCATGATTTTCTTACGACCAACAACAAGTCCCGCATTCTTAGAGATCATGTAGATCATTTTCAGATTTCGCTGCAAATTTTTGTAGGCGGTGGGAGAGGCACTGACAATATGGTTTTTCAGTGCCACGTTGTATTTTACAGGCTATAATCGCTGATATGGTTTTTTGTTATTAGTAAGCGAACCTTAGCAAAAGGCACAAAAACGTTGAATAAAGCAAAATAATAGGAATTAAAATTGATTACAACCATGATATGGTAACAAGAAAATTGTCTATACCAAATTTGTAGTCCCCTTATTCGGAAGTCTCCCTTACTGGTTCTCTTTTGAGGAGGACGAGGCAACAAAGAAGGTTCTCTTACTCTAGAAGAAGTATGACGCGTCTTTGGTTACCCTTCCAGAAAATTCTTTGGTGTAGCATAATTTGCACGATCGTAGTTCTGCTGTCCACTTCCATACAGGAACGCCACCTCCCCCCCCCCCTTTCCACCGCAAGAATGGGTAGCAAATCTCAAAAAATTGCAAGCGACTTGTTCATACTTGCAAACAATTGACATACTTTTCGAAACTTTTTGAAGATTTGAATTAGCCTTGAGAATTTTTTAGGGACGTGGAGGCGCAAAAATTTTGCGAATTCCCCGAATTTTTTCGCAGAGCAGCCACCATTTTTTAAAATTTTTGTCGCTTCTCTCCCGAACGGGAATCCTATAACCGCCATTGCTATGGGTCCATATCATTTACAGGACTTTGGCCTACCGTGGTTTACGCGTAAAGGGAAGAGATGGGGTTCTTCTTCTATCAGAAGCTCGACTTCTTATCCCCAAAAGTAATTGCATCCCCCACTTATACTATGAGAATATATTTAAGTTTGCCTTCAGAGTTGACCTATCGTAATATGGACACGGCAAAGTGGAAGATAGATAAAACGACAGTGCGTTTAGCATACGCTCGCACCATGATTGCGGGTGTATTCTTCAGTGAAGCCGTGGAGCTGAACTCGACAGTGGAGCATAAAATCCTCATCATAGGATTAGGAGGTGGCATCATAAATAACTACTTGAGTAGTATGACAAATCAGAAGGTTTGTTTGTTCATTCATACAAACCACCTCGGTCATTGTCATATTCTAAATGAATTGAAAAAACTCGAAACCTTTTGGAAAGGATCAGTACAATTTATGGAAAACCTCCTCAAGCTTCAAATTCTCTATGACTCATTCTTTCCGCATTCGCTTATTCAATGACCACATCTTCCTCGAAAAGATCTGAACAAAAGAACCTAAGATTTTGGCATCTTTGCTTTTTTTCCATCTCGAATTATTTCTATTTTTTTATTCTACTATATAAATACACTCAATGTCCAGAAAAAAAAGAAAATCGAAGAAGAATTTCCGGTAACACATGATACCAGCCTGTTCTCAGCCTCAGGAAGCTGAAGAAATATGTGGATGAGAACAAATTATGGCCTATATGCAATTAAAACTGGAAGTCTCACGAACGAACATCATTTTCTGTAGTCCATCTAGCAAAGAATGTTATTCTTTGGATAAAACAAATGAGGAACTTGTAACTATTTAAGTTAGCTGCATCCGTTTGTCTTACACATGCATAAAAATACTGTAAGCTCCCACTTTTCATCGATCGTAACTTCCCTGATGGGCTTCATTTTTTTTCAAAAAATTATTTGAATAGATGGACAGGTGCAAAGGATGTGTAAGGACTAATGTGTCAAACATTTGCACCCTCTTTAGCAAAAAAAAGACTCCAATGGGATGCTGGTAAAGCGGTATTTAGGGTTAAGAGAGTGAAACGAGTATTTTCCAGTTTTTAAAATTCTTGCATGTCTTGGACACTTGTAAAGTTGTATCTTTCTTTTAAAACACGTTGATCGCAATAAATCTGCGGCCACATAAAATTACCTATCTAAAAATAAAATTACTATTTCTAGCTCACAGCAAAATTCTTCTGTATTTTTGAATATTACATTATGTTAGGCCGATGCAAAAGTTTTGTCGCATTATTTTTAGAAATTATAACTTCTTGTGTCTCAACGATTTGCACAAGGTTAATTTTGCTAGATAAAAAAACCCTTTTCTTTGCAACAGTGCCTTGCTCTCTAATAAGTACTTGCGCTTGAGATGGAAGCAGAAGAATAAAATTACTTCAACTTCGGTCATTTTGGATTGGGCTGTTGAATTTGAAAACTGCGATATCCGAGCAAGGAGTGTAGTAAGTTTTTTGATCCACTGTTTCCAACAGTGCAGAGTTTACGTTAAAAGAGCATCTCTTCGAAGAGCTATGATCTCTGAAAAGAATTATTGCTTACCAAAAGTCATAAGTCTTGGTGCTCTTTCAACACAAACTCTCCACTTAGAAACTGTAGATCAAAAAACATACTATACTGCATGCTCAGACTATCACAAGTTTCAGATTTTTAGCAGCCTAACTCAAAATAAAGGAAGTCGAAGTAATTTTATTCTCCTGCTTCTTTTTTAAAAACTACTCCTTAATAGAAAGCAGCAAAAGCAATATCAGAAAGAGGAGGGTTTTATCTATCTAGCAACTTAAGTTTATGCAAAAGAGGCAAGAATTTTTTTTTAAATGATGCGATAAAACTTTTGCATCAACCTAATATTGTGATTGTTTGTATCTACTTAATGATATGTTTTCTAAATCTAATTTTCACATTATTGCTATAGATCGTTTTAGCTTGATATCACGGTTGTTGATATCGATCCTGTGATGGAAACAATCGCGACGAAATGGTACAATTATCAAGAAACTCCTAGCCATCGTATTGTAATTGAAGATGGGCTAAAATTTGTTACACAAGCAGCAGACAGAGGTCTCAGAGTTTGCTACAAGTTAGGAAGAAATGGACTTGCCTTTGATTTTAGGAGACAAATACGACGCCATAATTGTGGACCTGTGTATAAACAAAAGGCAGGAGTTGATGTGTCCTACTGAGCATTTTGTTGGCTATGAAGCAATGTCAAACTTGGCTGCCATCACTGCTCAAACAGGTTCCTATCCCCTCCAAAATTTATATGAAAGCGACAGGGTATAGCTAACATAGTCCTATTTCAGGAGTTGTTATTGTGAACATAATCACCGAAAAAACGAAGTTCCAAAAAGCTGACGAGGTGAGTTGCCTTCGTATTTCCGAAAGATCTCAGAAAACGTAGCAGTGAATTATTTGGAACTTCCAGTACATAATTTTGCGGTTAGATTAAGATATAGGCTGCTGCATGACGAAGGCGCAATATATTTGGGCGCGAACGCGGCTTAGCCGCAGAGCACATGAGGCGCAGGAATTACAGCGGTGAGAATACGCACGCGCCGCCTTCGCGCCCGCTCAGCTACAAATGCTTCTGCGTCGTCATGCAGTAGCCTTTAAAGGCACCGTTCACCCAAAATTTCGACCTCCAAGTTTTTGCCGTCCCAGGGCCTTATCATATCCCTGATTCCGAATATTAAGTCGAAAATCCGCTAAAACCACGAAAAACCCCCGCTTTCAGAACCCGCAGAGCGATTTCTTCGGTACGGTGATTGATTGGGCGCGCACGGATGGGCGGGACGAACGTCACGCCCACTCCGAAAGGGGAGGAGCCAGCGTCGCGAACGCGGCCTGAACCGATTTCTGAAGCAATTTTCTCGGTTCGAAAGCAACTTCAGGCAGCGCGAGTTGGTCGGTCATACAGTTGGGGGCCCCGCATCTGCTAGGTATCATAATCTCACCAACCCCAGTTTGGGTGGACGCTGCCTTCAATAACGGCAGAGATCAACACAAAGTACCGCTCATAGTTTGTAGAAGAAACCTCGCCATCGCCAAAAATCATCAAATTTGGAGTCTCATGCCATACTCTGGTTCAAAAAAAGGTTTTTGAATCCGAAAGCAACATTCGAACTCAGCTAAACGAGTCGCATCTTCTTGTGTAAAGAATCCTTTTGGGTACGGTAGGATAGGTACAAGTCAGAATACCCAGCTTTCCATCAGTCACAAATCTTTCTAGATTTTTGCTTCCGGTGAATTCCTCAAAATTGTGCTGGTCACTACACCTACATACACTACTTGCTGCTAAAACTAACTACCGTGTGCCTACCGTAATCAGGCGAGCACTTACATATGTCAGGAGAGGTGTAGCATCCAGCTTGAATTTTCCCGTGACATGTGTCCACTCTAAAAAATGGTTTTTGCGAACTAAGGGCAGTGGTGCTCATTATGCTAGTGCGCTTACTGGGTTAGGAGCAGCATAGATTATTTGCTGAGTCCCATTATTTACGTTCATTTTTTTTTCTGACCCGAGCTCAAGAGGGATAGAAGATGGTAAACACGTCATTAAATATTGTTCTTCTTTTTCATTACTGTACAAGGTATCAATTTTCTGATCATTTTTTTTATTTTTCAATTTTCCTGCTTTGGTCACGGTCTCGACAAATTTTTATACATCTAAACAAATTTGACTGAATTTTGTAAACCACTTATTCATCAAGAGTACTAGAAGTTGGTAGCCCGTTCTATGACTCATGTACGCCACTTTTACCACACATTCTCATGAAAATGGGAGGTATAGTTCTAAGAAATTATATATTTATTTATTTACTTATTTATTTACATAACAGCTATCAGCTAAAAAATCCCTAGCCTGATAACCGCTCTATTTAGCTTTAGAACTTCTATGTATTCTTTCCAGGTCCACAAAAAGTACAAAGAGCATTTTGAGTCTTGCGTACTTCTGCCAGCAGGAGGATCAGATCGGGTAAGAACCTTGATTTTATGGCGAGATTTTTAATACCAAAGTGGAAGCTGTATATATAATTTTGAATTGTGTCAACTTGCAGGAGATGTTTTGTTTCCGAAAAAAGAAGCCATGGAATGATGATCCTGACAAATTGCACAATCTCGCTCTTGAAGTTGATAAAGTGACAGGATTTCATCTAGTAGATGGAATGAATTATACGGCTACCCTGGATTGAAGGTTCTGGATTTTTTTGTTTTTTTTTTCTTCGTGTATATAGAACAAATTGGCGTGTCCTTGCTCTGGTTGTCATTTTTGATATCGAATGCACTATTAGTCAATAAAATTAATTGTAGCAGAACTGACTTTTCTCGGAGGACTATTAGATGCTACTGCCAGACGAAGGCGCAAAAGCAACATTAGTTGAGCGGGCGCGAACGCGGCGCGTGCACACGCCCATCGTTGTAAACCCTGAGTCTCATGGCGTCTCGGCGGCTAATAAAACCGCATTCGCGCCCCGGTTCTGCGCCTTCGTCCGCCAGTAGCCTTTGTATACCCAGACCAAAGCTAAGGGTGTCTACTTTTGACACAACATTCACAACATTTTCGCATCACTAATAACTCTCAAGGCCACAAGTAAGGTCACCACGTGACTCTTAGAAAATTGTCAAGGTTTTGCTGGACCACGGCAAATGAGGCAGGAATATTTATTGACCCGGCTCTGTGATAGCAAACCCATATGACAAAACAAGAACAAAGATAACAGCGTATTGTCGAGGACAATCAAGTCAGGAATGAATCATATTTTTGTACTGGTCCATAGCCAAAAAAATGTGCTAAAGGGAATATTTTTCTAGGTATTTCTTCGCTTCGTCTATTTGTTCTTGGAGTCGTCTTTTGGGAGCGTCTCCAGTGACTTCTTTTATGTTCTGAATGAGTAAACAATGACTTTGAGAATGTTCTCGCAAAATAGCACAAACCTTCCCAAGTCGAATAACTTGACTATGGTATTCCGGAATGTTGCGGAATACGCGAACGTAGCGATCACCACATGTTGCAATAAGACGACCATCCGGAGAGTACCGAATGACTTGGATGCGCTGATCGCCGTGAACTTCGGGTACTAAAACATACTCCTTAGAACATAAAATGGTTCCCTAGAGGCTGTCTCAATGACGCTATCGTTTGCACCAGCGTCTCGGATTCGCTCGGGCCGCCTCACTTGGATCGCAAACCGCGTCTGCGAGGCCGCCGCAAACCAAAGCCGCTTCTGCAACCAACAGTGCCACTGAGACAACCTCTACAATGTTTTGAGTCAAAAGCAAAAAAAAACCCAAGAAGGTAACTGGGAGGAAGAAAAAAATAAGATCAAAGCGACGCATCTACCAAAAGAGCTTACGTTCTGAGAAATCTTCGTTGGCATCCTCACTGCTGAACACCTTCAAAGTGGAGCCACAAGCAACCGCAAAGCTCCCTCCGGAAGGACTCATGGCTAAACGCACCCTGTCGGCACTAGCTCCTTTCAATGCAGCCCATTCGCCTCTAAAAAAACACTCAGAAAAAGATATTTGCAAACTGATATTCACAACGCGGAAGAGCAAAAGAAATGAAAAGAAACTTTACTACTATTTTACTAAGTTTTTGATAGTTGAATGCTCATTAATCACCCCAGAAATAAACTCAAGCGCAAGCCATCTACAAATGAAAAGTAAAGTTCCTGTACACAGAAAATTCAGAGAACCAAGCGAATCGAGCCCAGAGCAACGGAAGGATGCAGCGTTATACGAACTGTACGCCACGTACTACACTATGAGAATCCCAGAATATTTTTGCGCCATCTTGACAAAAACCCAAGGATTGCAGTATGGTACAAACGCCGAATCTTGCGAACATACACAAGGCTGTGTCGAATTTCAAGCAATTGTAGAAGATAATCAAAAATAAAAAGTAAATAAACCGAGCTCAAACTGGTCTTACTTGTTTAGAACTTGAGTCTCTTGGCCTGCGTTGTACCTAATATCCGTATCAAAAACTCGCCAAAATCCGTCGCGAGACACTGTGACAGCTCGGGATGCGTTAGAATTGAAAGCTACGGAGAAGACACCAGAGTGGTGGTCCTGAAAAAGTTGTTGATAGACGTAGAAAATTGTAAACGAACTAAGATGAAGTAAGTATTACCGTGAGATTGAATGCTTTCTTTGCATCCTGAAAAACGCCTTCGCGGTTGAAAGTAACCTGAACTATTATCATAGGTTGCAGATTTGAGTATGAATTAATTTGCACAAACCTCGTAGACAATTACGTCTGGTGTGAATCCACAAACAGCAACAAAACGACCATCTGGTGAAAGCACGGCATCAAAGAGTGTGCTCAGCTAGAATCAGGATTATTTGAGCAATTAAAACAATCAAATTTCTGTCATTAATTATACCTTTGGCTCCAAAATCTTGAGAATATTTCCGTGAATGTCGTACAAAACAATCTTCATGTCGGGCGAAGCAGACATTAGATACTTCCCTCAACTCACAGACATAACACAACACCGAATGATTTACAAGCCCTCTTACCTGTAGATGATATGCCACAGTGAGAGATATCCAGTGTATGTGGGGATGGAAATGACACATTCTCTACATGGACAAATTTGTAGGTGCCTCCAGTTTCCTTCTTCACTAATTTGTAAACAGCCAACTAAATTTGCAAGCGTCACAAAACTGAAAATCAGGGTAAGAGTATAGTAAAGAAGAACCGAAATAAATACCTGATTGCTCCTCTTCATTGCAAAAACCATGCTTTTGCAGTCGGGAGAGAATGCTACTTTAGTTGCGGTGTCAAAATCGAGAATTTGTCGCACGCTCTTGTGTTCTTTCTCTTCAAAGTCCTAAATCGGATAGATCAATGATGAATTCTTGAATAAGAGTAACTTGAATGAACTATTCATTATTTACTATCATTAAGTAGATTCATGAATCCTAATCGAGGTAAAAGTGTAATAGAGCATAAAGAGGAAAAGGGTAGGCGCAGTTGCCAACAATGAGAGGAAATACTCAAAAAACATCGTAGATCTGCTGACTTACTCGAGCATCCCACAAAAACACTGCTCTATCGGGCGAAACGGTGACGAGCCTCTTCCCGTCTGGTGCAAAATCCATGCCAGTAATATCGGTAGTATGGCCTTTAAGAGTAGCAACAGACCATTTATGATCATAGGAGACATCTTTGGGCTGAAATCAGCAGCACCGGAATTCAATTAGGAGGAGGAATAATAATGCATTGTGAATCAGAATTACTGGACAAAACTAAGAGCAAGAACTGAACAACACCTTTGCCTTCCACTGATCATTCTTTCTCCCTTTGCCGCCCTTCTTCGCATCGGTATGGGGAGCATCACCAGCTCCTTCTTCTTCTGCTTCTTCAGGTAGCCTATTGAGAAAGGAATATTTTATGATAGAACATAGTTTACAGCAACTGACTCTTCCTCCCTTTTTGGCTCCTGACTTTCTTTTCTGGTAAAGTAAAATATCGACGAGATCATAACCACCAAAATTCCAACTAGAGCAGAAATCAAGGTGGCGATGTCCATCTTCTCGATATCTAGCATCTTGAGCTTTGAACGAGAGAATTGCTCTGTAAAAAGGCACATAATTTAGTAAACAATCACCACAAAGAAATGTACTACGAGAGATTCTCGAAACACAGAAGAAATTCCACAACAATTTCTTTCGTTGAAGGGAATGCTTGCACAGATATTTAAGTGTAAGGGAGTTTTGTTTGAGCTATTTTCCGACACTGTGATTAATTTGTGGAAGACTCATCAAGTCTTGCCCACCACCGTATTCTTTGAGATCAAGTGGCAATGATTACGGTACTGGCCAGGAGCTGAGAGCCAGCACTGGGCCGATTGAATTCACTGCGAGACTCGAGAAACTTTTTGGAATTTTTCCCTCTATAGACGCCAAATGTCAAGAAAAGGCGCGAGCGCACTTCCGAAAGAAATCTACATAACCGAATTTCCAAAAATTAAATTATTTGCCAAAATCAAATCACGTGTACGATTTTTTAACTGAATAAAAAGCTTTCAAAGATCTCTCTCCCTCCCCTAGGTCCGCCATTGGGATATAGCACTGTTTAGTCATATCCACTTGACCCGAACTCTTGTCGGGGATAAGCGCATTGCTATGGGTTAAATTATTGCATACACTAGTCGACTGAAGGTTGGAACGCTGGAACAGTGATAACTTGTCGGACTGAACGTTAGAACGCTGAAATAGTGATTAAAAATGGTATGGAAAGTACCAGACATATGCTTGCTTCCCGAAAGGTTCAATTCTTGACCTTGGAGTTCGCTAGCAAGATAAGATTGTCTTCCACTACTCTAAACTCAGGATACATTTGCAGAAAAATGAGAGATGATCAAGCAGATGAGGAACTGACAAATCAGCCAAACCTTCCTCGGCCACCCTAAATTTCCCGTTATTCCCTTCCACGAATAGGGAAACTACCCTATTTTCCGGAGTATAAGCCGCACCTTATATAAGCCGCACCCTCCGCAGCGAACAATGGCGCGAAAGCGCCATTGAAAAGAGCTGTATAGCAAATTGAAAACTCGCTGCGTTCTAGTACGGATAGTCATGTCTTCACTTTTTGTTTCATATGACTTTGCGGGTGTTTAGGTTGTGTTTTCTTTCCTAAATGATACTGCTGGTTGACTGTGCTTTCCTTTTTTCAATGATATTACTGGTGCTGATCCGATTCCATGTTACTACTGGCATTCTTTTATTGTTCAGTGGATTCTGGAAGAATAAATGAGGTGGAGAATTTTGTTACAAACAAATACACTTGCGAAGAAACCAAATAAAGAAAGAAAGCAAAAAGTCCGTAGTAGATTACCATGCTAAATAGATAGTAGTTGCTGCTTGTGCGGCTTCGCGCATCGTGAACGACATCGCATTTCAGCCCGCGCGCGGTGAAAAGAAATGCGGCTTATACTCCGGAAAATAGGGTATTTACCACCGCCCGAGGGCACGTACCGGTGTGTAGAATATTATCAATTCGATTCCTTCATTCTGAACGCTATTGCCTTGTCGACGCGTTTGCAAAACGACATAAAATATCGAGCAAAACACTTCCACCAGCTTTGTTGGCATTATGCAGCTGAAAGTTTCCGCGCTCCACGGATAACAAAAATTACAGAAATTGCGGGGAAAGTATAGCCGAACCGTTTTGCGAAAGAGATGTATAGTTACTGAGTTGCTCCAAATACCTAGCCCATAGTACAAGAAGTGAAACTAATCTGCTGGAAGAAAAAAGCCACATTTTTGTGAATTCATGAGGACAAGAAATCAACTGATTCAAGGGAGATTACCCGAACTCTTTGGAATTGATGCTTGCTAAATTTTGACTACAGTTAACTGAACTGATGACATTCTTGACAAGGGGCATACCGTTTCAACCTTGATAAAGAAAAGCAAAAAGGCGCAAAGTCATCGAACTGCCGTGACCATTGCGCCAGTCCGTAATAGTGCGTCAATGCTCCAACTGTGTTCTCGTTGGCACTTTGCCGTTTACCATTTTTGAGTGACAGTAACTTGTCACTAAACTTCAGAATATTTATTTAAGGTTAAAAATTATTTCGAAACGCCTCTTCGAGTTTGATGAGGGCCCATGCACTTCTACAAGTAGACGTTGCGCTGGCACTTTAGTCTGACGTGTCCGTTCGAGTCGATCGATACGATCCCATTTTCATTGTAGCATTCTTCAAGAGTAGTGCTTCTTGTTATTCTCTGAATTCGCTTCGAACAAATCGATGCCTAAGATTGGTGGTTTTCTCTTAACAGACTTCTTTTTGAAGTGTTGTCATTCAAAATATTTTTTTATTACGAATGGATGAATTTTATTCGATTTGCCCTCGTATAAAATGCTTTTTTTAACGTGAAATTCATTCTTTCAGATCTTTTCAGACATGGAAGACGATATAAGGGATAGACCTGGAGTTATCTCCCGATTTTTCCATTGTATTGAAGTCGTAAGTTTTTTTTACTAAAGATTTTTTCTGATTTTTGGTTTCCATCTGCTTCATTATAATACGCCATGAATCTTGAAGCTGTTAGATGTTGAGAAACTCGTTTGAATTTTGCTCCATAAAAATGCAGTGCTTGAGATTCTGGTGAATTATTGCACACAGCGGTAGCAGATGAGTGCTAATTGAGTAAAATGTTCTGTTCTTCGCTACCGTAAACCCACCATAAGACGTTATCTCAAGATTTATTATAATACCCCTGTTGTATGTTAAATAAGCACTAGGTGCAAGATGTCTACAAAATCTGAGCCTTGCACTTGAGCCGCATAAAGTGAATAGCGCCGAAACAAAGCCATTAAGAGTTTATCTCGAATTTTTTCTTCGGCAGCTCTCAGTTTCATCAGTATTCGTTTTTTTTTTCTTTGCGTATGCACGCAGTTTGAGATAATGGAGGAAAAAGGTTCTTTTTTTAGAATTATTTTCGTTTCACACACTTAATCCGGTTCGTTGACAAAACATTTTGGTATAGATTCCTTATCGCATGGGTGATCGATTTACAAACATCTATGTAGCACATTATCAGATGAGTCACCGCTGCACAGTAACGTCATCGTTATTTCCCCTTCTGCTTGTGCGCTTTTACGGCGCAAAATTTTATCCGTTCGTAAAGAACGCCATTTGGTAGCAATTTAAGTTTTGTCTCATTTTGTAATAAAAAGAGCGCTGCTGCTTGATATGCTTCTGTAAAAGACGTTTGCATACGCGCAACGATGCTAATTTGGAAGAATTTTTCATTCTTGAAGCTAATCAAGCTTGGGCAAATTACGTGACGAATCATATCTGCCTCATTCGACCTCACTGAATTTATATAAGTTTTAAAGGGAAGATTGTCATTTTTCTAGAGCAGATCTATAAACTTCTCAATCTAGGTCTTATAATGTTGCAGTACAAATTGCTAGGGGTAATTGCCGTTTCTGAGTCATCTCTTCGCTAATTAGCACCAGAAATACAAGAAATGTGGATATGAATGTTTATGTGTCCCTCATTTGTAACAGGTACGTAGGAATTTATTTGCAACTATTTGTTTTTCCATAGTCACATTTTGGATGTTTTTCACAGTCCAATTGACCTAGTTCCTGGCACTGTAGTTCTTATTTAGACAAAAGTCTGTGTAGACCGTTAATGAGAGCTTAATATTTGTGAATATTGCTTTACATGCCTTTGTTAGTTTTCGTGGTATCCTGAGAAACATCTTTCTCTATGGCCTGTATAATCTATCAGTGTGATCGATCATGATCTTAACGAAGATGAATGAAGCGTTGTACAGCTGCTAGCCTTTCTAACCCATAAGCACTAGAAAGCACTTCCTTTCTTATTTAGGGAAAGCAGAACGTGTAATGCCTAATTGAAGCTTCCAGCAAATTGTTTAAGTGTGAGTCATAATTTGCAGCTGCTTGAAACACCGTCTTCGTGTCTTCTGCCACATTTTGCGCGATTTGCGTGAGCATTCATCGCTCACAAGTATGGCATGGCGCAAAAAACTAAATAGCTGGAGTTGAAATTTGTGCATAGAAGTTGCAGTAACAGATGCTGCTCGGTTGAGTTTATGTTCGTACGTACTGCTTTCATTCCAGAAGTATCAGTACTATCTGGACAGACTCACACCGCAAACAGGTGTTCGATGGGTTATCGCTTTGATAGCTATTCTGACTTTTTGCGCCAGAATTCTCTACCTCCAAGTACGTCGCTATGCCTTCCATCTGCTTGAGATTCCAAAACTACGAAGTTTAGGGTTTTTACATTGTTGCCTATGCTGTCGGAATCTATTACTTAAATCTTCTGCTCCTATTTCTCACGCCATCGATCGATCCTGCCCTCGAAGATGATGATGATGGACCGGTGCTTCCGTCCAGGACTAGCGATGAATTCCGCCCTTTCATGCGCAGATTACCGGAATTCAAATGCTGGTGGGTTTTCGTTACCTTTTCTTGTTTTCCTTATTGTTTTTACTTTTTTCTTTCCCATTATCAGTCTTTTTCAAATGGGTTGATATGCCCTGCACATTCAAGGAATAAGTTTACTGATTATGCGCGTTACCGCCTATGTATCTCATATCCGTTGTGCGAAAACATTTTTGATATAGAGCAATGTACGTGGTTCGCAACTCGTTTGCTGCATCTAGAACAAGAATTCTACACTAAACGTATCTTAAGACATCTCATTGCTCTTCTAATCACTTAAAAAACATTTTATTGTTCATGCGCTTCCGCCCTTTTTCATCCTTGGAAGTGACTGCATGTGGTAGAAGAGTCAGTAAATGTTAGAGTCTAACAAGTAGAAAACGCATGTACTTTTTTCAATTTGGCATCGCATAGTTTTATATTGAACCCATTTGGTATATCGCAGGGACGATATTTTCCTCGCAGCTTTTATGCATTTTACCGTGTCATAATTTCAACAAGAGCGAAAGGAAATGAATTCACAGACGGAAATTTTCCGCTGGGAATTTGATTGCGGATATTAATTTATGATGCGATGCGGATGGTACACTGCAGTTCCTAAGAGTTACAAAATCCGAGAAAATATCAGATTTATTGAAAAACTAGGTCATTCTCGTTCTGTAATTTGTGGCAGGTGACAGGTGCATCAACCATATTGAAGGGAGCTGCATTTCTTGAATAACTTCCTGTAAAGTGCGATATTTATGGCTGCACATTTTCTAAAAGCTATAGGGAAAGATGGCATTGAACTATCACTTCATGCTAGCTGTTGCAAACGGCTTACGAAGCCGAGTAATCAGAACGCTTCCTGGCTTCAGTCAGATCAAATCAGACGAAGACTGCAGTTTAATTTCGTCTCTTGGCAAAAATTTGCTGATTTGTTCTTTTCCAGGCATTCCGCTATGAAAGCTACTCTCATTGCAATAACGTGCACCTTTTTCGAATTCTTCAACGTACCTGTATTCTGGCCCATTCTTGTCATGTACTTTATCATCCTCTTCTTCTTGACGATGAAGCGGCAAATCATGGTAAGCTTTGCTGTCTTTGTTTTACTTTTCAACAATCTATGCATTTATAGCACATGATCAAATACAAGTACATCCCCTTTACCGTCGGGAAACCACGAATGGCTGGCAAGGAAGATACCGGCAAGGTTGTCATCGGATAGGTAGCTGTGCAAGTTATCGTTCATATAGCTATACCTGTTTTGTTGGCCCTTATCAAGAGTTTTTGCTCTGCACATGCGAAATAGCAGCGATAGTTTCCACGCATGTGTTATGATGTATGGGTTTCTTGTTTTCTTTCTGTATTTGGTTTCACTGTGACTCTCAGGCTTCTTAACAGAACGCATAAGTAAGCGATGTGCCATCTCATCGCTCTAGAAAAGTTGGAAGCCACCTATTTCGATGAAGCTTCTCATGCAACACCCGGCAGCGTTTCTTCACCTTTGTGTCGTTATGTGTTAGGAATGTTATTTTTGCCTCTGAAATTTATGCCGAGTTTTCGAACTGTGAAGAGAATGTATCATTGTAATAAGTAAGTTATTATATAAAGGTGACAGTTTTGTTGCGATTTATATGGAATACGTGCGTGAATACTTCGCTGATTTGTACTGTGCACAACTGATGCAAATCACCCCAAAAATGCGATTCATGACAGAGGTTCATCACAAATTGCCATACCAGAACTCCTCGGCGTCTTATTTCCCTTAGTGTTGATCAAACGCCTACTGGAAATTGAGCAGCAACAAGTGTATCACTAGGGTCGTTTACATTATAAGTCACAACAATGTTGTGTTTAGTATCAAGACAATCATCACAAGCCCTTGTAAATAAGGTTTTTTTTCGACGACACGATTCAATGCTATCCTAAACATGGGTAAATCTTTCTGTAGAGCCTTCTGTATTTTTTACAAAACAGGTTGTTAAGTTCTTTATTGACTCTTCCTTCCCACTATGTCGTCTTCTTCGGCAGTCTGATAGTAGGTTGCAGTCTTCTTCTATCTAGTAGACTACGCGACAGACCGACTCCTCTAGAGATCACTCCATCTTGACTTCGTCCCGTGCACCACGTACTGAGAATTATACTAATGAGTACAACGAACGTTGGATTTACCATGTTTTGCTAGAAAGTTACTATTATAGAACATATCAGCGGCGGACCGAGAAGAGGCGCTCCCTCCCGCGGAAATGTGCAACCGAATTTTTTTTTTCAAAATGAACGTACGTGGTATAACACGACAGAAAAACCGGTTTCTGTTTATAGAAACCCTTTGATTCAAGTGGATTGGCGGCTGGAACGCGGGGCTTCGTGACCTAATTAAGGCTAAAGAATGTCGCAGAGCACGTTCGCGAGAGAGACGCAGATTGCGTCGCGGGTGCGAGCGATCGCCTCAGCCGCCAATCTCTTGAATCAAGTGGTGTTTAACATGATTTTAGCAAATCAAGCATGGGAAGAAGCTGCTTCCACCATGTCCCCTTTTTTCGAAAGTTTAAAGGTGGAAGTACTGAAAACAACTTAAAGGTCTTACCCATTTCTTCATCCAAAGTGGGTGTATGTCAAGAGGCGCGATTTTTATTGCCAGATGGATACCAATTAGCACATAATAAGTGTTTATAACTTTCTAAAATTGTTCAGACTTTAGAAGAAAATATATCAGATAGTTGCATGGGTTGCTTAACCTTGCTACCTTAGAATCAATTCAAGAAAGCAATTTTAAAAGTCAAAAACGCATGAAAATGCAGTTAAGAACAAAATTGGAAAAATCTCGGTCCGTTTTCCAGCAAAAGCCATCAAACTCAGTGTTCACCTCAGACAGATAGTAAGCCAATGCACTTTATCTGGCACTTTTTGAAGACTCGCATAGCATAATACTGGAGTTTTAAGTTGGTGACAGCCAGAGAAATCGCGCCTCTTGACCGTCTCCCATCCAAAGTAAGTCCCCCTCCCCCTTCCAGAGAAATCTTGGACCACTAAAACATCAACCGCAAAAGTGCGCTCACCAATAATTGCGCTTCCTTTCGTTCTCAAGTTGAAACTGCAACTTCTCCCCTTCCATGCGGGCGTTTTGCACTTGAATCTCTAGCAAATCAGACTTCAACTGTTCGTTTTTTATTTTCCATTTCCAGTACTCCGTTTCCATTTCTTTCCTGAGAAAATCGGATCGCTCACGGGTCTTAGAATGCGACAACTTACTGCGAACATGTAGCCTCTTCCTCATCTTCATCCTCATGTATAGGTAAATATGGCTCGCTAAACGAAAGAAATTCAGAATTGACAATGAGATAGTTAATTAAGTGTGAACAGACTTACAATTCGTCATGTAAAAGCAGCTCTTCGCAATCAAAGGAAGACTCCTCCTTCTCTCTTTTGATAGGTTCTTCGCAAAAATCGCTTAAAGAGGAGTATCTTTCTTGCTTTAGTACTCAATAACTTACGAATTGCTTGTCGAAGTTCTCTTTCTGACATTTTCACTATCGGACAAGGCCTTTTGATACGCATCATGTGTCGATGAGGAAACTTTCTGAACCAACATCCACAAGGATTAGCCCACTACAAACATAACCTTTGATTCATCTGGCTTGGCGGATGAAAAGCGGGGCTTTGTGACCTAATTAAGGTCGCTCGCGCCCGCGACGCAGTCTGCGTCCCTCCCGCGCACGTGCTCTTTGATCATTACCTAGCCTTTATTATGTCACGAAGTCCCGCCTTCCAGCCTCCAAGTCAGTTGAATTAGCGGGTATCTACCATGGCGGATTCTTCCCCTTCGTAGCCACCAAATTCTCGAGTAGAGGGTGCCTTCACTCGCAGCTTATCTCCAAGTTCTTTCAAGATAATGTCAATATGGGAGGGGATCAGCTTGGTCGGGACTCCGCCATCGGTTTCAATGTGTTCTGATCTCTAAAAGCAAGACATATTCTAACACGAGTAACACGGGTAACATCAGTAACACGAGTAACACTGGTAACACCGATAACATGGGTAACACTAGTAACCCGAGCAACACTGGTAACACGAATAAAGTATGGCCAAAGCCGTAGCTATAATTTTTACGACACTGAAACCAAACATATTCTTCACCTCAAAAGCAGCATATTTCCTTGCGTTTTTTAAAGTATCACGAATCCTCTGATCTAACTGGTTGACCGTCCTCTCTGGATAACCGGACGCGACTAAATTTCGGCTAAGCTCTTCCAACTTCTCTCTCTTTTCCTAAAATCTAGAATAGGTTACTCTGAATCCTACAAAGCTTCTAGCACATACGTACCTTCACTGTGGGCTGCCTACTGGAGCCGGGTAATGCTCCATGGAAAACATTATAATTCCTTACATAGAATTCGCTTATCATGCACAGTTCTTGGTTTGTCATGATTGGAGCACGCGGCGGCTGATGTCAAAATATTAACATTTGAAAAAAAAAGAGAAGAGGAACTCACCTTTACCTTCATGTCCCCTCTCCGAACGACAAACTGTACAAGCCCTTTAGTTTTGCTGCTACTTTCTGCAAGGGTCAGTCATATCTATCGAGTGTAGGGCGATTCGCACGACCGTAATGCTTTCCGCACAGGACCACCGTCGCGCGCGACACACCCTGCGGCGGCTTTTGCTTAAGCAAAACAAGGGGAGAGAAGATTGCGGCGTGCGTGACGTGTTAAGGCAAGTCAAAATCAGGGAAACGTTGGAGACTGTCCGTGCGAAAAGACCGTCTCCCATATCTATCTATCTAATCTAATCTTCTAATCTTCTAATATATAAAGAATCGTAAGCGCAATTCAAAAATGTGCACATAGCGGGAAACCACGTGGTGGTCCCGTAGCGCGCGCATGCTTCTGGCACCTTCAATTGCTGGTTCACTACTCTGACTATAGTCATGTAGTATAACCTCGTTTAAACCATGATTGGCAAACACAAAGCAATCAATCTCTATCACACTTCACACATATCAGGAAGTATATACACACTATTTGGTATTGATTCATTCGAAGGAGTTTATAATGATAGTGGTATGTACAGTGACCGCCAAAAAGTTGCGGACAAACCCCTCTCCTTTCTTCATCGCTCTTTTTCAGAGGGAAAACAAGGATGAAATAATGTAATAATTGCATGAGGTGATAGAGCTCTTCAAGCTCTACATTATGCACTCTAAGCTTTTTGAGAAACATGTATTCTAAAAATTTTAAGAATCTTTTTCTAAAAAAAGTCCGAAAATGGCCGCGTCACAATGTCGCGGACAATAATTGTTCGAACGCAAAACTTTTTTTTTGAATCCTATTTTAAAGCGGAAACACAGGTTATCCGGACAGGTAAGCATACTACTATACAGAGCTCGTCAAGAACTACACACTGGTTATGGTTGCTTCCCCGAAGAACGCAAGCTTGAGTTTTATTTTACTTTTTTCAAAAAATAACTTCTAATTTCCTTTATCAAGCCAAATTTCTTCACACGGAAACCTGTTCAAGGCATCCCAACAAAGCCGTCTGGGTAAAATAGATGCTCTTTGCCATCCTCTATGCATCGGACATGTGCTGATGAGTTTCTTTGCTGGGAATGGCCCTTGGCAGTGCTTGCGCATGACCCCACCTGCACCTCACCACTGACTTGTACCGCTTTGCAGGCTTGTAGCTCGGCCTGCAGTCAATATTTGAGCCTGCAATTAGGATTGTTCGAAAGTACGAGACTTCCTCTACACGATGGTATGCAAATGAGTTGAGTTTGAGAAATTTCAGAGATTTGGCGGATGGGGTGGTAGAGGGCAGCTTCAGTTGTAGTCTAAGCACTTTTCAGCTAAAGTTGAAGAGAGCTCCTTTCGCTACCACTTTCATTCTGGAAGTTCAAAACTGTCAATTTTCTTGTAATAGATCCATTTCGAAGCTTTAAGACTGTTCTGGTGTTCATAAGAGCTTTCACTCCAATCACCTCTAAGGCTGCACTTTTTCACCCCATCCGCCAAATCTCTAAAATTTCTCAAACTCAACTCATTTGCATACCGTCGTGTAGAGAATGTCTCGTTCTTTCGAATGAGCCTAATTGCAGGCTCAAATATTGACTGCAGGCCGAATTGCAAGCCTGCAAAGCGGTACAAGTCAGTGGTGAGGTGCAGGTGGGGTCATGTGCAAGCACTGCCAAGGGCCATTCCCAGCAAAGAAACTCATCAGCACATGTCCGATGCATAGAGGATGGCAAAGAGCATCTATTTTACCCAGACGGCTTTGTTGGGATGCCTTGAACAGGTTTCCGTGTGAAGAAATTTGGCTTGATAAAGGAAATTAGAAGTTATTTTTTGAAAAAAGTAAAATAAAACTCAAGCTTGCGTTTTTTGGGAAAGCAACCATAACCAGTGTGTAGTTCTTGACGAGCTCTGTATAGTAGTATGCTTACCCGTCCGGATAACCTGTGTTTCCGCCTCAAAATAGGACTCAAAAGAAAATTTTTGCGTTCGAAGAGATATTGTCCGCTACATTGTGACGCGGCCATTTTCGGACTTTTTTAGAAAAAGATTCTTAAAATTTTTAGAATACATGTTTCTCAAAAAGCTTAAAGTGCATATTGTAGAGCTTGAAGAGCTCTATCACCACATGCAATTATTACATTATTTCATCCTTGTTTTCTCTCTGAAAAAGAGCGATGAAGAAGGGAGAGGGGCTTGTCCGCAACTTTTTGGCGGTCACTGTATATATTAAGATCAATTGTAGCGCAACACCTTACAACAACGACCACTAAGAAGAATTACGCAGAGTTTCCAAAGAAGTTCCATTTATCGAGGTTATCGGAGAAAAGAGACGAAAAACGAGAACTCGAATGAAGTTGGGCGAATATAATTGGAAGGCTTTCTTCAGCAGAGCATTCCCAACAAGACTGCAAGGGTTTTGTATACAGGCATATGCTAGGTTCTTGATCGGGCCGCTTGATTGGGAAAGGAAATTGAGCGTGCCAGCACGCAGCGAGACGTGCTGACGCAAACCAAGTACACTTGCTGACCTAAACTCAAATAGTTCGCAAACGCATGAATGCTAGATCTTCACTACTTTGCTCCTTTCTTTAATATTTAGACTATAGCTATGGTTGTTTTGTCCTACCATGCAAGTTCTAATGATTTCATCGTCGAAGTTTAATCAGAATTGACGAATTAATGCTGTTTTTCTTAGTTTCTGCATAGGCTGAAAGATATCTGCTCAAATGAACTGATTACACTACAGGTTCCAACAAAGGCGGCGTCCACGCAGCATTTCGCCTTCTATGTTCCTGTCATTCTGGGACCTTTTCGTGTCCCTGATTACATTTCTGAAGTTTAAAATGAGCGAAACCCACAAAAACATGATTTTTGACATTCTGTCTTGAGGGTGCTGGACGACTTTTAGCAGGGTGGGCGGAACTTGATAGGTGGGCGTGGCTTGATAGCAGTGTCGCTGTTCCAGGTCCATTATCTCCGTTCACAATTAGAGAACCGGGACAACGCAGATGCCCCTCTCCTGGGGCCCACATTCAAGATCAGCACTAACCGGAGGGAGTTGGATTTAGCGTGAACGCTGCCTTTAAGATTTTCCACTAGGAGCAAAGTTTTCTACAAAGAATGGTTTTAGTTCTTCTTCCTATGTGGGAGAATGAAAGGTGCCAATCAGTTCCTTTTTTGGGCACATTGGCAGATGTATTGTAAATATAATCAAATTTCAGTATAAAGATTCACTTCGTTCTTCGAGCTATTTTAAAAATGGTTTTATGATTTGTGTGATGGCAGACAAGTGAAACCGAAAGCCCTAAATTATGTAAACAGTGCATTCATGTAATCTTATTGTAAATGGTAGCCAAAACGTGTGAACGATGGTAATTAGAATTAGAATTAACTACTTTCGTCTTCCAAATAAGCTCGTAACCAAAATATGGATCGTAAACTAATGAGTTTGTCACTAACGAATGGACTCCAAAGAGGGAGAGCGAACGATCAGAAAACCTACGGTGAAGAGAGCTGAAGTGACCACGAGCGGATGGGGCGCGTGAATGAAATGCAGATCCCAATCTCGGCAGCAGAACGGGCGCTGCGCTGCCCGATCGATGCGCTCGTTTTCTTTGATAAATCACGGGTCGGGCGCTGTCGGTCGATCGGACGCTCGTTTATGGCGGTAAAACGGCGCGCGATCAGAGACTGGGAGGTTGAAAATTACCCTTCTGATGAGTAGTCTAGTTGCATACATCTTTTCGCTAGGACATTCAATTACATGTCGAGAAACTGATGAATACTACCCTTATCAGGAACTTTATCAGTATCTCGAGCGATTCGCGAAATCAGATGGTAATTCCTGATCATGCAACCACCTGATCAGGAACATTCACCCGATCTGTCTGGTGCAGGGTTCTACCTCGAAGCATGGTTTCAATCAAGTTCGAAACTTACAATCAATAAGTCAATTGCAAGTCATTTGATCATAGTCGCACTAGGACATATGAATAGTAAACTACTAATCTCAAAGGTGCTAGTTGTAGGCGCTCGCTTCCGCTCGGTTTCCCGCTATCTGATGATTTTTGGATACACCTTACGGTTTCTTAGACAAATTTCCAAACCTCTTACAAGTAATAATTGGTAAGCAATTCAAGCTGTGATTAAAGCTTCCCTTCTTCTTTCATTGCATTAATGATGCGAGTATTCTCTCCAGCCCGTCGAATTCTTCCCGATTGAACGGTTGAAGTGCTATTTCCCCTTTGAAAATTTCTACTTGAGAATCCTGAAGATTAATTGAGACTGTCTACGGAAACAATTGATTCATCTTACACTCATGCTTTTTATTATGTACAAAAATGTTGTGTTCTATCAAGCGGTTAGATATTTTGTCATGAAAATCAAACAGTGATAAAAAATTGAAATATCACATATTCCCGTGGATTTCGACGCGGAACACTTCTTACATTAGTTGAGAAGGAATACAAAGTCAAAACGAAAACAAAACTTGCTGACGACGGGGCCACTGGCCTATTGCAGTGACAGTTTTTGTTTAAATACTCGAATTTTTTTCTCGAACCCTTGCAGGTAAGCCTTGACCTTCAATAAATAACACTACGAGTTTGACAATGTCCGGACAGATACTAGTTCCATTTTTTGCCTTATTCAGGCTTTTCCATAGCTCTGATTACAAATATGGAGAACAGAAATGTAAATGCCAGAACCCTCGTTTGAGGCTATTTTTAAAAAGCCGTGAGTGCCCGTCAAAGCGAATCAAGTTGACAGATTTTTTAGGCAACAGGAGGATGTTTCACCAAGTTTCACCTGTCTTCGCAATACATCTTTCTTCCTACGATATGACCGCCCCAATTCGCCTTCATAGGTTTATGTTTTCGCTGAGCAAGTGCCTCTTTCTAAGCACAGTCGTGATTCTTGTTCACCCCGTGGGGGTGTGGGCCGATCCCTGCAGCAGTGCAACGCTGGGCCGACCCGTGATGAGGTGCGAGCAAGCCCGC